CAGGAATGGTTACAAATAAATTAGCGCAGTACCTACAAATACGTACAAACCCCTCGTGCTCCCTCAGTGAACACATCAGCACCGAGGCTGCAGGGCAGGCCCTGGGAACCTGGAGCAAGTTGCACCGAATCACATCCAGGGGGGGTTGAGAGGGGAAAGATCGTGAGGAACATACCACTGTGTTACCAACACAGTGATTTTTCCTAAGAGTGATCCTTTGCCAACAACTCCTGGAGAGAGATCTGGAGAAGCCGGCTGATCCCAAAGCAAAGGGCACTCGGGTTGAACACCAGGACAAGGAGGTCAGCGGTGGCAGCAGCAGGTCTGAGGCAGATAAACCAGTGCTGCGGGACCGGGTCAGCTGGTAAAGCCACGGGTGTGTCTCAGGGCCAGGGCTGTGCAGCTGCCCCGGTACTTGTCCCTTTTCAAAACACATCTTTGATGTTCCCTGGATGATTATTTAATGCCCTATTCTGCCAATTGCCATGATCCCATTTTTCTATCCTTTGTCCTTGGCTGACCTTGATGCATGAATAGGTGAAGGCACAAGTGCTGAGAAGGCAGTGCTGGCGTTACAGACTGACGTGGACTTGGCAACGTCACCGCTGAGGCTGTGGGCATCTGTCAAGCAATTCCAAAAATACACAGGGAAGGCCAGCCTCTCCTTTAGGACACATGCAGCTCTGGGAAAGGCACAGCACACACTTCTCCCCACCCACTGCCCTGAACAGAACACAACTGGCACTATCCCCTCACCTGCCAACTACCACACTTCCAATAAAGAGATCCTGGAGGAATAGCAGGGCATGGCTCCCTCTATGACCAACCTCAGAGAGCTTAAAGTCACAAAAGCAGCTCTGCCCAGAAGAACCTGCACAAGTCACCAAGGAAGGGGCAGACAAATGAGCTGCAGGTCAGCTAAACAGTCTCCAAGATTCAAGACTGAGCTTTTGTCCTCACTTTCTGAAAACACAGACTATATTTCAACTTTGTACACAGCAGCAAATGCAAAGCCTGCTTACTGGCAAGGAAAACTAATAAAGACCCACACAGAATGTAAAAGTCTGCCACCTCTGATTTTTGTTGTCTCTGACAAAGATTCATTTCTGCTCTAAGGGGAAAAAAAATTAAAACATCAATCCAGACCACAAGGGACTGAAGACCAACAGCATTCAAAGAACTAGATCAAGCTTGCAAACAGATGTGTAACTTTAATTACAGTTTCCATAAGTCACTAGGTCATGCTTTGAAAGTCAACCCGGGTCAGGACCAAACTGAAAACTTTGATGTGTGAAGTAGCAAATGCACATTTTGGCATTTGTACCATTAGTTTTATTCGGTTTCTCATAAATCCCATTCTCATATTTACGTATCACCAATTTTAGAAATCTAGCAATGAAAAGGATGGCAGGGCAAGAATACACTTAACTTCTGGAATATCTCCTGAACTTCCTCTGAACTGATGGGTAATTTTATTTTGTACATTTCAGAAAAACAAAGGGAGTTTTGAAAATAACACTGACAAACTAAGAAACAGAAATGCCACATAAAAGTTTCCAGACCAGCAGAATTAAATGTAAGCAGCAAGACGTTTTTCACAGACTTTTACATTTAATAATTCTGGACATGAAATGTACAAATATTTAATTATTTAGGTACTTTGTACTTCTGCTGTGCTCATTTCTTTGTAGGACAATTGATGATCATCTTACATCTTACTGAGCTTACAGTCAACCTAAGAAAGAAGAGAAAAAAATTAGCCACAAGAGAGATACAACGGTTAAAAACATTTCACAACATGCTGTAGCTTTAGCTTGAAAGAAATATTTATGGCAAAAACAACCACAGCATTACAAGTTTTCCCATACATAGTATAAGCAACTCTTTCATGTGGCACATTAACTGATCAGAGGCCACAGTCCCCAGTAGAATCTTTAGCTGGCAGAAATACAGCTGTGTTTTTCACACTGAAAAGAACAGCCATGCATCATTTGCACTGTAATGCAAGCCCACAGGCACTGGCTTTATATCACTCCTATGTGCAATATGTAAGTGAAACTGAGAAAACAGATCTACAGTGGGAAACATTAAAAAAAAAAAAAAGGCAAAGATAAGCTATTTTTAGTGACCTTGATCTGCCTGCCACTAAAACACGTGTGAGGTATTCTCTTTGCAACCTACATTTATTATAGACACTGTAAGAGAGGTGTTATTTTCCAAAGCTTGCATGTCCAAGACAGAAAGCTGGCAGTGAATATGCACACAAATGAATCTATGAAAATACAGATCAGTCACCTTATCACTTAAAAACTGGGAATGAGCTAGAAGAATAGCCAAAGCCAAGATGCAAAGTATTAAGGAAAATAATAAGGAAAGAAGAAAAGTCAGTCCCATTTTTTGGTTGCTAACCACAGTGAAAGATCTGCAGAATTTGTGTTTAGCTAAGTCAGAAGCATCCATATGTACATACTTACTATGAACAGCTTGTACACTTATGTTGTCTCTCTGCTTTTCTTCTTTCATACTCCATTACATCATCATTGTGCTGCTTGAAAAGCTAT